CAATGAAAACAGGAATGTTCAGTTTAATCTGACCCAGGGCACTAAAAAAACAAAAAACAAAACCCAGTTTCAACGGCCACCCAAGCTTTTACTGTGAAGATAATCAATGAAACTGTCAATCACCCCAGCATCTCTGACCAATGCTTATTCAGCCGCCTCCCTCATCTTTACCATTGTAATTAACTATACAATACTCACCCAAAGCCCCTTGGCAGATATCTGTCCTTGTTGCACCTCCAACAATAAACTGAGGGTCATCTACAATTTCCTGCCAAGAGATGAAAGAGGTTTCCTCATTGTTCTCATACAAGCGCAAGGGAAAACATGAATCAGGAAATACAGTACACATGCAATGTGGTTAAAGGAGAATTAGATAAATGGATTCTGAGGAAAGATAAGGTTACTCTCTATTCATTCTTCTCTATGTTCCTTTATTGTTTTACTATCCAATAATAAGTCCAACCTTCTGAGAACCACTAATTATTTTGTATATCTACAAATGCATATTCTCCCTTTCTTCTATTATGAGACTCAGCATAATGCCTTATTTAACCAAACAGGTTATAACCAGTAGAACTCTATACCTTGCCAACGCACTCACTGAGATCTTCTAACCAACTTCCCTACACGGCAGTGCGCAACTTTGTGAACTCATTCCAACACTCTGTAAACACTCTATGCCTTACAGGGAGTGGTAATTCTGTATAAATTAATGATTCTGTGGTCCCACAGTTGATAGACTCCAGGAGTTCTGCTGAAGTTTCTCTAAGGAGTCAATTCAAGCATAACCATGTTTTCAGGGAGGTTCTCTTTTTCCCAGTTTCCTTCCTAATTCATATGTATCAGTCAGGTTATCTGGAGAGGCCTAGGTTTTTTTGCAATGGAATGTGGGAAAGACCTTGAGAGAGAGGGCAAAGAGATACTGCCAAGGGAATGGGCAGATAAGAGACAGTATAGCCTGCAGGTGGATAGTAGGTGGGGCAAAAGGCTCAGAAAAGACCCTCCCTAGTTTCTTGGGTGGTAAAGGAGACCGGGGGTGGGGGGAGAACTGTACTCTCAGACTTGCAAGATTCTGTTAATGTAGTTTACAATAAAGTAGAATTTAGCTCATCTGGTTGTGATTCCTATCTGGTTTACCCCGCAAGGCTGACATGTTTAGATTCTTTACTATAGATTTTATTTTTGCAACCCAACTCTTTTATATCCTGCATCACTAATCATGATTTTGCCAGCCCCATTGCCTTCAAACATTTTCCTATATTAGGAGCATAAATAGTGGAGCTTACCAAAACCTTGGACACGAGGACTATTTCCCCATTCTATATTTGTAACCAAAAGCTAGAGGCCTGAGACAGCTCATGATAATGAATCCGACAATGCAGACTGATGCAGTTTAATGTTTAAATATTTACAGTATCTGATCACCATTAAACATGCAAGTTCATATCCATATCTAAATGAAAATGTGGAGGTGAATGCTAATTCATGGCTTAGAGATATGTGAATGAGTCTTTGCCCCACATATTCACCCTCAGTGGCATTATAAGATTAATTTCATATCTTGTAATTCTCTGAGAATTAAATAAGCTATTTTTAAGGAAAAAACTTTAATGACTATGTTCCATGTTTATTTAACAATTGTTTTCGTATCTGCTTAGATTATATTACTTCAGTAATGCTTACATAATCTATGTAATAGATGGGAGGGTAGAGGGGAAAGAAAGCCATAACAGAACCAAGATTTGACGTAATGAGCTTGCATCTCATAGTTTAGTCACACTACACACAATAGTTACAAAATAAACCTGTGTAAAATTATAGACCTGGGATAGGACAGTCTACAACTTTGTAACAAAGGTGTTTTACGACTTAACACAATACAATATACTATACTAACACAGTACAGGTACAGTATACCAGTGTTTCTCAACCTTAGCAACTTTAAAATGTGTGGACTTCAACTCCCAGAATCCCCCAGCCAGCATGCTGGCTGGGGAATTCTGGGAA